GTGTGTGTTCGTGCAGCATGTCAGAGTGTGATTTCTGTTAAAGCAAACACATTCACGTCATCTTCCCTCTGAAAAGCAGTGAAGCTACCAAATGATCTCGCGCACTAGCTGCAGTGAAGGACCAACTCCTAAAATAGGTCGATATAAACAGCTTTACGTTTTCTCAAATATTCGTTTTCCTTCTATCTCTTACCAGCGAACATGAAAATCCGGTTGTGCTTGATAGACAAAACTAAAACTTTTTTATTCTAAAATACTCTTTATCTACTTTTCGTATCATCCCTCTTGGAGACCGAGTTCGTCCAAACTCCCGTTTCGAACGGCTGTCCGAAAATCCACCGCCGTCTTCTTCAAAAATAGAGATTCTCAACCAGCGCAATAAAATAACTGTGTCAGTTCTAGAATTCTGCTTTCGGTGAGAGCGCTTTCTAAAATCGTCCGTCTACAAATGCCGTCACAGTCAAGCGTCACGTGTTCTCCGACGGAGATCAGTTGTTTTCGTGAAAGAGTGGCGCATGAGCCTCCCGCGGGATTTCAGGTGTCATCACTGTTTTCGTTCCATCGGCTGCTTCAAACACAGTTCGCTTCCCGCCGAGACGATTGGCAGGTTGTTGTCACGGTGATGGCCAATCAGGTGGCTTATGCTCTCGAATATGTGATCTTTCGTCCGGACCTTGAGGAGACATATAGATTTGATTGAAAGTTAAATCACACATGACAGAATTACCGTTGAAAAAATTTTGGGTCAGTAAGATTTTTTTATTTTTTATTTTCAAAAGAAATTAATACTTTTATTCAGCAAGGATGCATTAAATTGACTAAAAGTGACAGTAAAGTCATTTATAATGTTACAAATTATTTCTATTTCAAATAAATGCTGTTCTTTTAAAAATTTCTATGAATTAGAGAATCCTTAAAATGTATCAGTTTCCATAAAAAAGGAAGCAGCACAACTGTGATGTCAACATTGATAATAATAGGACAATGTTTATTGAGCAGCAGTTATTTTAATATCAATGTCATTTTTTTATTATTTTTATTATAGTTACTATAAAACATTTAAATAAATATAGTTTTATAATTTATATTATTGCTATTATAGTTTTTGTTAACATTTTTTATTTTTATATTGTTTTTTTACACTATTTTTATTTTAATTATCCTTAAAATGTATCAGTTTCCATAAAAAAGGAAGCAGCACAACTGTGATGTCAACATTGATAATAATAGGACAATGTTTATTGAGCAGCAGTTATTTTAATATCAATGTCATTTTTTTATTATTTTTATTATAGTTACTATAAAACATTTAAATAAATATAGTTTTATAATTATAGTTGTATATTTTTATTATATTATTGCTATTATAGTTTTTGTTAACATTTTTTATTTTTATATTGTTTTTTACACTGTTTTTATTTTAATTTCAGTAAGTTTTAGTAATTTAGTGGTGTTTTATTCATTTTTGTCTAATATGTCTATAGTTTTTATTTAGTTTTAGTATGAACTAAACGCAAAAAGCAACTAGCTGAAATAATAATTACTTAATAATTTTTATGGATTTAATTTTAGTTTTAGTTAACGTAGATAACAAATCCGTATATTAGGATGATTTCTGAAGATCATGTGACACTGAAGACTGGAGTAATGATGCTGAAAATACAGCTTTGATCACAGCAATTAATTACGTTTTTAAATATATTCACACAGAAATCAGCTATTTTAAGTTGTATTAATATTTCACTATTTTTACTGTATTTTTGATCAAATAAATGCAGCCTTGGTGAGCAGAAGAGAACTATTACACTGAGCCCAAACGTTCAGATTGGAAATATAGTATTTCATTCATTCAAACCTGGAACTAAACAGTTTTAGGATTTGGAAATATTTGAAATAAAGTTATCACATAAAAACATCATGACTGATCAAATATAAGCAAATGAGTGTCACTGATCATGTGACTCTGTACAGACACAGATGTAACTTTGTCAGATCTTCTTTTCCACTCCAGCTCAAGATGCTCTTTGCAACATTTCAAATCATGCTGGAGAACACGATCATCAAGTTTCTCAAATCCATGTTCAACTTTTCCCTCCAATTGTTGTACTTTCAACTTCAAAGTTAGACTAAACTACAAAAGAACCTAAAATAGAAGCATTTTCTCAAGAGTTTGAATCCCACTATATTTACTTCAATACACTGTAAAATCAGTTTTTAAAATAAAGATGAAAAAAAAACAAAGATTACTGGAGAAAATACTATTTCAGAATTTCTTCTTCAAAATGTAGTTTAATTCAATGTGCCGTTTCTCTGTAATTATTTGTGACCCTTGAGCACAAAACCAGTCGCTTGGGTATATTTGTAGCAATAACCAAAAATACATTGTATGAGTCAAAATTATAGATTTTTCTTTTATGTCAAAAATCATTAGGATATTAAGTAAAGATCATGTTCCATGAAGATATTTTGTAAATTTCCTACCGTAAATATATTAAAACTTAATTTTTGATTAGTAATATGCATTGCTAAGAACTTCATCTGGACAACTTTAAAGATGATTTTCTCAATATTTAGATTTTTTTTTGCACACTCAGATTCCAGATTTTCAAATAGTTGTATCTCGGCCAAATATTGTCATGTCCTAACAAACCATACATCAATGGAAAGCTTATTTATTCAGCTTTCAGATTATATATATAAATCTCAAGTTCGAAAAAATTGACCCTTTTGACTGATTTTGTGGTCCAGGGTCACATTTGTGAAATTTAATAGCAATTTCTGAGTTAAGAATGATTTGTCATTTTTCAATATGCGATTAAATATTGCTATAATCTACGGTGGCCGAGAGAGCTCAATGCGCTGCAAATAGAAAAAGCACCAGCAAATCAAGAAAACATCTTCATCAGTTTGACAACGCGCTGCAAATGCTCACAACACAACCAAACAAAGAAACGTGCTGCAAATAAAATTCTTTGTTTGGTTGTGTTGTGAGCATTTGCAGCGTGTGTGTTGTCAAACTGATGAAGATGTTTTCTTGATTTGCTGGTGCTTTTTCTATTTGCATATGTTTTCTGAAGTTGCAGCGGGTTGAGCTCTCTCGGCCACCGTAATAATCGGTTCATATTCAGCAATGCTCAGAGTAGGCTTTTTATGATTAAGAAATACTATATATATATATATATATATATATATATATACATATATATAAGAATTTTCCAGCCCAACCTCATTAATAAAAAGACACTCTCAAGTCATTAAAAACCCGCACCGTTCCCTCCGGATCGACCAGCAGCAGGTGTTTGGCCAGGCCGTGGTGCATCCCCGTCAGGACGTATGAGCCCGGGTTAGTGCTGCTCTTGCGCACCAGGAAGTCTCCGTCGTTGAGCAGCAGTTTCTCGGCCTGGCGGCGGCTCATCTCTCCGTGGTACCACGTCTGGTCCTCCAGCTCCTCCTGAGCTCTCAGAGCGGCCGCGCGCATCAGCAGAGGACTGCAGTTATCCACGGACGCCGCTTTATGCAGCTCTGAGGCAGGAGCCGGAGCTGGAGTCTGGGTCATGATGGCGTCCTCAAACGGCTCTGATGGCACGAGAAAACAATGTGCTGATCTTTAATATATTCGCAAAATGTAACTACTGTATATTATTGCCAAGCTCTTCATATACAGTCGGTTGTTTGGTGTTTCAATGCCATGCCAGCTTCCCTGGCTATTTCCATGGTGAGTAACAAGTTGAAAATGACTAGAAAAGTATGCTATAGGTTTTTTAATTGCACTTTTATTTTTAGTTCCTAAGAGAACTTAAACCAGCACAATTTAATAAAACATGTTTAAGAGATTGATATAAAGTTGATATGCCCAACTTTATCCACATACATATGCTAAATGCGACTATGAGGTGTGACGATATTAAGATGCTATAAACATTAACATCATGATTTTCTGTAAAACTGCTTCGAAACGATGCGTATTGTGTAAAGCGCTAAATTTGGCTTGTGACAAAAGGGATTCATTAATGAATCTTTTTTGTTGTTTTGTCCTCACATTTATCATCTTTCTACAGTAAAACTGCTGACAATGATGTGACACAATCAGAAGTTATTTAATATTCTAATGAGTGGGATTTTGGACCAATGAGATTTGAATGTGGGCGGAGCTAACACAAAATGTAATTGAAAAGATTGTATATATTTTTTGTTGCTTTATCACAATGTGTCTGTTTTATTATTAGGTGTCATTTACTGTATGCTTTGTTGGTATTTTCTCTCATTTTCCTTCTGCCACACGGGATGATGAAAAATAGTTTCAACAATCTAGTCTGCTGTGCCATAAATTGGCCAAATGGCCAGTATTTTTCAAGCAAGTTTTATAGGTAGCTAAAATACTAATAGAACAAATAAAGGTGCTGAAAATAGGGTTGTATCAATGGCAACATTTTAAATAACGTTAAAAATCTCACAGTTCTTGAATATATTAACACCACAGCAAAACCTAATACTAGTCAACATTTTCAGGCTTATTAAAGACATATTACATTCACTAAAAGGGTTAGTTCACCCAAAAATTTTAATTCTGTCATTAATTACTCACCCTCATGTCGTTCCAAACCCGAAAGACCTCCATTCATCTTCGGAACACAAATTAAGATATTTTTTGATGCATTTTAATGCAGTATCTTAATTTGTGTTCCGAAGATGAACGAAGGTCTTACAGGTTTGGAACGATGTGAGGGTGAGTAATTAATGACAGAATTTTCATTTTTGGGTGAACTATCTCTTTAAGACGTAAGACATAGACATTATGTTCACTTAAGACTCCATGACGGCGTTTTGACATAACTTTGTGTATATTTAACAGTTTAAACACAATAAAAGCAAAACACTGCATTTTTTCGCACCACCTTTTGATGGCGCTGTAAAACAGGTGCATTATATAGTCCTACAGCAGTGTTAGGAATGAATTGCCTCTAAACTCTTACTCATGTCAAAGAGGTCCTTCCTCGGGCTGTCTTTAGCTGTCCCGCTCGTGCCCGATTCAGACAGTGTCTCTGACTCTCCCTGGAGCGCGGCCAACACCTGCGTGTCAATGTGCTGCGTGTTCACATACGTGGGCACTTCTCCTGCCTTAGGGGCTTGACATTTGACCTCAGGGAGACTGTATATGTCACAGGACCCTATACGAAAGGCACAGACAGAAGGATGATGATATTTTGACGAATTGTTTTTTGCATTGACATGAGGTGTTTTGGGCGATCTGTCCATCTAAATGTGAAAACGGAGAAAAATAAAGGGAATTGCACCTTGTTGGATGAACATGGGTCGGCCCTGGTAGTACGTCTGGTCGACTCCAGCGGCCTGTGTGGACAGCAGTAAACAACATGTGAGTCATCAACAACAGTAATGAAACACTGACCTCATGGAGTCCATATACACTGACAGACAGGAAACAGAGTCCACACTACAGGAAGTCATCTAAATTAATCATTTAATGCCACAGTTTAATACATCTAAAATTAAAATCACACTATTAATGCCAACATTTATACAAGCTGTTAAGAAGTAGATCATGCAGAATATTTTTAAACAACTATTTTTATACTGATAACTAACTTAAGAAATGTTCTTATGTTAAATAATTTTTCTTACTTTTTTATTATTTTAATTATTATTTTTTATTATTGTTATTTTCGATATTATCTATCTATCTATCTATCTATCTATCTATCTATCTATCTATCTATCCATCCATCCATCCATCCATCCATCCATCCATCCATCCATCCTAAATGTAATTATATATGTTGGGATGGGAAAGTTGGAATAGTTCTGTATTGTTCTTTTCGATACTATCTATCTATCTATCTATCTATCTATCTATCTATCTATCTATCTATCTTAAATTTAATTATACATGTTGGGATGGGAAAGTTGGAATTTTTATTTTTTGTGTTATTTCAACATGATAAATAAACATTACTTTTAAATATATTCTTTATTTTAATCATTAAATACATTGTGGGAAAGTAGTTTTTTTCGATAACAAAATATAATATTCATATCTCATTTTAATTTAATTCTTATATATGTTGGAGTGGAGTGGGAAAGGTGTTTTTTTGTTTCAATTTTATATCAAAACATAATATTTAAATGTATTATTAATTTAATTATGATATGTTGGAGTGAGAAAATTGGAATTGTTCTGTATTTTGCATTGTTCATTTTGATATAACAAAATGTAATATAATATGTAATACATTACTTTTTTTATATTATATGTTGGAGTGGAAAAATTTGAATTGTGCGGTATTTTGTGCTGTTTTTTCGATATTAAAACAAAATATAATGTAATATTTATTTATATATATCTTTTTTTTTTACACATCATATGTTGGAGTGGAAAAATTGTAATTGTGTTGCATTTTGTGTTTTCGATATTATAACAAAAGGCAATATTTATTTATTTTATTATTTTTATTTAATAAATATACTGTATGTTGGGGTGGGAATATTGCAATTGTTCTGTATTTTGCACTATTAGTTTTGAGATTATAACAAAATATAATAAAAATAGAACTGTCACAAAATGTATGCAAACATTACCATTAATATCTGATTTATTTTGTTCCCTCAATTTAACATATTCTCTTGATTCATTTCAGTGACCTGATTTCCTGTATCTACAGAGGTAGATATTATGTTTTTTGAAAACTTCAGAATGACAGCACAATCTTTTACTATCATTATTTACCAAAAACCCAATTAATAAAGAGATATTGACAGAAACACAATAGTTGCATTTACAGAAGCAGCTGAGCTCGAGTGATTATCGATCAGGTTACTTCACGAGTGTGGGCGGCTGATTAGCAGACCTGGCTGCTGTCTTGCGTCTGATTGGTCAATCTAGAGTCAATGAATCCTCCTGGTGGTGGCATCTTTCCGGGAATGCTGTTGTAGTAGTGATGATTGGCAGACTCCTCTCCTTCCTCTGTCCACGGGGGCTCGTCTGTACTCATAACCCTAAAGACAGGACACAATGAGAGGCAGAAGCGGTCTCAGATCAGAATCCTGAAGGTGTAGATGAGGACTCACCTGTCATGCATGGCCGAGGGTTTGCTGGACGGACACTGCAAATAGAGCTGAAAGCGCAGGTCAAACGCCTGACCGATCGTACTGATCACATCCTGAGCCAGACCGTCAGAGCACTCCAGAATATGACATGCTAGAAAACACAGGACACGTCAGGATCAATCTTAACAAACCTGTCCACGTCAGATTTCAACCCAAAATCAAAAGATAGAAGAAAAGTTTAGGAATTGTCATTAATTGTCATGATAATTAAGCACATTTAACCTCTAAATTCTCATTACTGTGGAAATATGCTAATAGGTTTTTCAAATTTTAAAGGTTTGTAAATTATGGTATTATTTATATTTCTATACATAAAACATATATTTTACTGCAGTGTTATTTTAGTATTAGTACTAGGGCTGCTCCGATTGATCGTCTACCAATCACTATCGGCCGATAATCACTTTGGGATGTTTAATCGGCGGTCTCTATAAAGGCCGATCTCAAGCTGATGTGCTGTCAGAGGTTTGACACGACGTGCAGCGGCACCGTCTGTCTCTGTCCGGCGTGGGTGAAATAATTATTATGCTGAAGCTGAGGTACAGTTCATATTTCTTCATTAAATAAACGGCATGAGTGAATCACCGCACGCGCGCTCTTGTTCTCTCAAAATGCGCATATGGCTTCAAATCACATCGCGTCTGCACTATAAGCGAGCTGCACAGTTGATACAGGAATTGTCACTTGCACAATCGAGGCCGTGTCGCATCGTCACTAAAGTTTATAAATTGCATTTATTTTTAATTCTTAGCAGTGTTTAACCATTCAGTGCTTGCGCGCTCTCCTGGATACTCGTGCACACTTGCAGCGCACACACATAATGTCAGGTTCACATTACTTCCTTATGCGGTGCGTATTTTTTCCACGCTCATGTTAACGAATTAAAGCGCACACAGTGCGTTCAGGAGCGGTGCATCTGCAGCAGTGCAGAGAACGTTTCCACACCCAGTCTATTTTTGCTGCGCTGCAAGCACTGAATTAAAGTAACAGCGCATTGTTTGCGGTAAATATGAATATGGATTGACACGAAAATGTAGTAATTACACCATAAATGCATATAATTAAAGTCTACTGTGTTTCACAGTCAACACATAGGCTATGGCTTTTTGGCTAGGTTTAAAGGAAAAGAGCACTTTTAGATAAACAAGGCAATAATAGATGGCACTCGTGGAGGTAGGAAAACAACATTCTTTATGAACTGCAGGATTTCTTGTAATAAAGAATTAAATGCAAAAGAAATGTCAGTAGAGCTGACTGCTTTCAATGGTAAGTTTTCATTTAGAATGTTTGTGATAACGTAAGAAAAGTAGTTTAAATGTTTTGCCACTTGCTTGAGCAACTTCATATATCAATCTAGAAGTAAATGCAAAAGTAAAAAGCATTGAATAATGTGTTTCTTATATTTATTGCGTTTAAACAAGTCTATGAAAGATTGTATTAGCTACTGCACTGTGTAAAAAAAGAATCACAATGCTGAAAAAGCATTTTCAGTAACAATGTTTGGATTTGAATTCACAGAATGTGTACACAGAATCTCTTGGATTACAATTTGCAACTAGACGGATGTACTGTTACTTCCTCTACAGTCAAAAATCTGGGTGTTATATTAGATAGATTAGACAGTTAGATGTCATTTGAAAATCATATTTCCCATGTTACAAAAACAGCATTCTTCCATCTTAGAAACATTGCCAAGTTACGAAACATGTTACCTGTTTCTGATGCAGAAAAGCTAGTTCATGCATTCATGACCTCTAGACTGGACTATTGTAATGCACTGCTAGGTGGTTGTCCTGCATCTTTAATAAACAAGCTACAGGTAGTCCAAAATGCAGCGGCTAGAGTCCTTACCAGGTCAAGAAAATATGATCATATTACCCCAATTTTACAGTCTCTGCACTGGCTACCTGTTAAGTTCCGTATCAGTTACAAAATATTATTACTTGCCTATAAGGCCCTTAATGGGTTAGCTCCTGCATACCTAACTAGTCTTCTACCACGCTACAATCCATCACGCTCCCTAAGGTCGCAAAACTCTGGACTTTTGGTAGTACCTAGGATAGCAAAGTCCACTAAAGGAGGTAGAGCTTTTTCACATTTGGCTCCCAAACTCTGGAATAGCCTTCCTGATAACATTCGGGGTTCAGACACACTCTATCTGTTTAAATCTAGATTAAAGACACATCTCTTTGGCCAAGCATTCAAATAATGCATCTCATAATCTTGTACTGCAGTTATATCTGATCAAATGCACATTATTATTCCTTAGCTTGGGTTAAACAAATCAATTTTGCTTGGTTGGAACAGCAGCTACGCTAATTATGTCTCTATTTGTTTCTCTGTTTTTTGCCACGGGATGTCACACAAGCTTCAGTCTGGATCCAGAACACCTGAGAAGAGATGATGCCAACCCCTCAGAGGACCTCAGATGATGCCAATCCTGAAACAACATACAGAACTACCACATTTTGCTATAAGTTTGATTGCATCATATAATAATTGCTGTGCAATGATTTTGTATCGTGAAAAGCGCTATACAAATAAACTTGAATTGAATTGAAATCAAAATAATGGATAAGTGTTTGTAGTAAACAGGCATGGATCAGGAGCAGATTCCTGTGTGAAAGCACAGTCCGTGCTGATTCTATACGCACATGGACTGCATGCGCACTGCAAACGGAGTATGTGTGAACCGCCTCACATACAGCTCACAAAATCAGGCTTGTGCTGTGTGTAAGCTATTGTGCCACAATTGCACGATTGTAAAACATTTAGGTGAGATAAATGTATATTTTTGAAAAATGTCTAAAAAACGCCCTCCTGCACCCCTCAAATTAAAAAAATCCCCTTCACAAGAGTCACCTAAAAGGGGAATTAATTTTCAAAAATGAATTTCAGGACCTGAATAAATGTCTAAAATTCCTGATTGGAGTCTTACTATAAATAATTCTACATGATAAAAAGAAGGCTTTAAAAAGATCGGTATCGGTGATCGTATCGGCAGATACTGCTTTCTGTGATCGCCCTCAAAAATCCTGATTGGAGCACCCCTAATTATTACAATACTATTAAAGTCTTTATTAATTTTTAAAATGTTTTTTATATTTCCTGTTTTTAACTGTAAATAAAATTTTAGTAATTGTGTTGTTTTTTGCCATTTTGATCAGTTTATTATTAAATAGATTTTAATTTTATTTCAGTTTTTATTTTAATAAATCAAGTTAAACTAGCTGCTAGTGCAACAAAAGCTGAAATAAAACAAGTTAAAAGTTTTTAATATTTTATTTTATTTCAGTTAGTTTATTTCAAGTAACAAAATGTTTGTTTTTTTATGGTTTTAATTTTAGTTAACTATAATAATCCTGTTTTAGCGCCTTTAATTTATGCTCATTCAAATTATATATATATATATATTATAGCACAAAACATTGTAAAATAATGTATTAAGTACTGAGCATCTAATCAGTTGTCATAATAAGAATTAAATAAATAAATAAATATATATATATATATACAGTATATATATATATATTTTAAAAAACTCAAAGTTAACATCTCTGGATACATTTAATTTAAAATTAATTTTAAAATTATATTCTATATTTATTTTTATTTCACATTTTTATGATTTAATTCATTATTAGCTTTTCATCAAATCACAAACTACCTGTGGTTCTTTTACAAACCTAAGTTTGAGAAACCCTGCATTATGGTAATGAGAATTTGGAGTGTGTTTTATTGTAATTAATAATAATAATAATAAATATAGCTGCAAGCAGCAATTACCGGGGTTCAAGCAGTTAAGGCATTTAAGCACATAAGGAAAAAGATTTTGTTAACATGGCTGTAACCCCTTAAATCAATGATTAAAAATAGCATTTTTGGCAAATGCAGGTAATTTACCAAGGAAATAGGATGATTTTTAACAGTTATGACTTTTATAGCGCCACCTATGGTCCGATCTCCATGAAACTTTTCATGCTTGTTAAGAGTGAACTGACACATGTTTTCACCAAGTTTCATAAAGTTTTGAGTTTTAGTTGAGGTTTTATAGGCTTTTGGGTATATCTGGCCACACCCCTTTTATAAATGACCCCGTTAAAGGTAGCCAAAGAACAAAATTCAACTTTTTTTTGATAATTATTGATCTAAAGAGTCCAGAGAATATTACTGCAGTGGTTTGATCGAGATTGAGCAAAAAACCTAGGACTAGTTCGCAAAAGTAGGTTTTTAACATATTCGTGAATAATTAATGAACGATTTGATTGACAGCAATGGTTCTTGAGGCAAAGTTGCTTGTTATAAGGAGATCTATCAAATGATATGCATATTGTGTTGATGTGTGAAAAATTGTGCAATATACAATCGTTTACGCACTTGAAAAACGCAATTTCGCCCCCCAGTGGCTGATTTCTTTCTAAATTATATGTGTCGAACATGCCCACCGAGTTCCGTTCCGATCGACCTCCGTTAACCCTGTCAAATAGATGCTTAAAATTTTTTGGCCAATGGCGGCCATGATTTTTTAGATATGCAAATATCCTCATAGACACTTGTGCCACTTTGGACAAAGACACTGCTTACCAATTTTCAAGTCGATCGGACCAACGGTTGCGTAGTTATAGCTGTTTTTCTTTTTTTCCCTCTTATAGCGCCCCCAAGTGGTAGAGCTGCGCAATATTTTTTATTTGACCAAAGATTAAGCTCATACACATATGTACCAAATTTGGTGAAGATATCTCATTCCGTTTAAAAGTTATAGCCATTTTAGTCAAATTAGCCCCACCACTTACGAACGTTTTGGCGCCCCATTGCGACCATGAGTCGAAAGCTCAAACTTTTTTGGATAATTATTCATAAACACTGTCCATAGAGTATTTCTGCACTGGTTTGGTTCTGATCGGGTGAAAAACCTTGGAGTAGATCGCAAAAGTAGCTTTTTAAAATAATCTTGAATATTTAATTACCATGTTTTATTCACAACATTGATCCCAGAGGCAAAGTTGTTCAGCATGAAGAGATCTATCTTATGATATCAAGATTTAGTGTATGTGTGAATATATGAACTTTTTGTGTACAATTTAATTCTGT